AAGCGGGCCCGGGGTCAATTTTTTGACTTTTTTGGGAAGAATGATGGGAAAGCTATGAATTTGATTGTTTAGCGTTTATTGATGTTATTAAGTCGATTATGTCTAGATACAATTGATTTGGAGTCAAATTCAAAAGGAAAAGCGGTGTTTGAGGCTTGAGTTGGCCGTGGAAGTTCGAGGTAAGTGTTTGGACTAACCTTAGCTTGAGGGATTAGGAGTTATGTCTTATTTGCTACTTATTAATTGTGGAGTACGACGTATAGGCATCGTGACGAGTATCTATACGTCGTTGTCAAGCATGCCCGTGAGTCTTGTATTGTAATTATTATGACTTTGTGGTGGTTTATTGCGCTTTACATGTTATTATCATTATTATTCCCTTGCTGGAATGTTATTATCATTATTGTTCCCTTGCCGGGATATTATTATCATTATTGTTCCCTTACTGGGATGTTGTCTTGATATTATTGTTCCCTTGCCGGGATTCTTTTGTGATTGTTGTTGATTTGTAAATGGGATCGAGTGGCACGCCACCACGGAAATATATGAAATGGGAGCGGGTTGCACGCCTGCAATAAGATATATAAAATGGGAGCGGGTTGCATGCCTGCAACAAGATATGTAAAATGGGAGCGGGTTACACGCCTGCAACGAGATATGTGAAATGGGATCGGGTTGCACGCCTGCAACGAGATATGTGAAATGGGATCGGGTTGCACGCCTGCAACGAGATATGTGAAATGGTATCGGGGTGCACGCCTGCAACGAGATGTGAAATGAATGTGAACTCTGCATTTGTTTTCCCTATCCTTGTTAGTAATTGGATTTTGGTCTCTTTATATTCCTCTTGATATTCTGTTGTTATCTGTTACTCCCCGCAGCATGTTTCCCCCGCTCAATTTTAATTGTGATTATCTGGTTCTATTTCCATTGTATATGATTTAATTGCACAGGTTTATTTGGTAGTCTGGTCCTAGCCTCGTCACTACTTCGCCGAGGTTAGGCTGCGCACTTACCATCACATGGGGTCGGTTATGCTGATACTACACTCTGTACTCTTTTGTGCAGATCCCAGTGCTGTAGGCTTCGGACCGCAGTGAGATTGTTGTTTCTTGTTCATCAGGCGATCCGAGGTAGTCCTGCAGGCGTCCGCAGGCCTTGGCGTCACCTCCTATCTTTCCTTTATCCTGTTTCCTTTACTTATTTTAGAAACAGTGTATCTTTTATTTCTTTCAGACCTTTATTTGTAGTACTCTTAGACTGTTTGTGAAGCTGTGACACCAGTTCTGGGTGGTCGAGGTTCAAACAGTTGTATTAGATATATTCAAATAATTTACTGCATTTCTTCCGCTTATTGTAGTTCCCGCTGTTTACACACTTTGGCTCTATAATTGTAAAGAGTATAAAATGGATTAAGAAGTAATTTGTTCAAATAATTTGGCTTGCCTAGCTCATATTAGTAGGTGTCATCACTACTGCCGAGGGTGGAAAATCCGGATCGTGACACTATTGCTTTAACACGATGTGATTTAAATACTCTGAAGGTAACATTTCATGGTTCAGACAAGCAAGAGTTATATGACAAAGAAAACAATGATTTACAGAATTATTTATAAATGTAACATTTTGTTAAGTTTCTTTTTGAGTTTTTAGATTTACATATTGCAATTTATAAAGCATGTACTTACTGATCCAAGTAGCATTAGTTTTATAAAATGTTACTAGTCTTTATGATTTACTTCAATCTCTTTGATTATGACTCTCCTTTCTAAAAGCAGAGAAGAAACAACTTGAGCTCCAGATTTTATTAGGACAAAAGCTTGGTATTGGTTATTCATTTGAAGAAACGAATGTATAACGACAGCTCAACTGTCATCAGGCTTTATTATTGTCAAACAGCAGCAAATAGGCCATATTCTAGATCTTCATACTTTGCAAGGTTTAATAATATCTTCTTTTAGTTTTAAATTTAAACTTGTTTGGACGGTTTTATGTTTTAGTAGACTGTTTTGATTTAGTCTTAGGATATGTGGGTATTTTGACACTTCGTTTCGTTTTTAATCTATCTATCTATCTATCTATCTATATCTATATCTATCTATCTATTTTATACTATATTAAAAGCACGAAGGCCCTTAGCGAAATATCGTTCGCCTTTTTTACCCTTAAAAATATATTTTTACACCGAATAAAATAGTAATTTAAGTTATTTTCCTAATATTTTGGACTTTAAAATTATTTAAAATATTAATTATTAAATCTTTCCTTATTAAAAACTCCTAATATTTTGGACTGTTAATCCCACTCGCACAATGACACTGCCCAAAAGACAGTTTGTTTCGACATCCAATTCTTATTCTTCTCTTGTATACGAGAGGTATGGAAACTAATTACTACTTTTCTCATGATACGTTCATAACTTCATATCCATTACAGCACATAGGTGTCTTCTTCTTTCTCTTTATTTTTGTTTTTGGCTTTTTTAACCACTTGTCATCTTATATTTTTTTATTACTTTGATGCTTGATTTTAATTAGTGTTCAATTTTTCGTTAGTATTCTGCTTTACGTAACATCTTATTTTTCTTGTTTCGATTTCCCAACATCTCGCTAGGTCTGTTATGGATTCGGCTTGGAGAAGGTAAGCATAATCCATATATAATTTAAAACGAGTTGCATTCTTCGATTTGTATAGATTTATCGATGTTGATTGATTTTTATTTTTTATATGATTTTTTGGATCTTCTTTGTGCTATTTAGGATGATTTACTTTAAAATCAGTTGCATTAGTTGTTGAGGATCCTATGTTTTATAATAGAATCAGTAATTATCTCTCAAAATGTATATGCACCAAATACATCAAGTGCAACATAATTAGCCTAAATATTTATAATATTTAAACCAGTAAACATGTATCGACTGATTTAAATAGACATTTTTGAAATAGGTGGTGTGTGTGCATTATCATTTGTTACTAACATACATTTTTTAAAAATAATTATTTAATTTTTATAAAATTTATACTTGTTGAGAAGAAGTAATCTATATGCTATATTAAAGCACGAAATTAATTTGATGTAAATATTTGATGCGAATAAAAAAGATTTAATATAATGAAAAAGGGTTGGAATGTGTTTATCTCACAATATCAAATTCACATATCAAGCCAATCTTGTAATAATAACTTTTTCCTTTAGTTTTTATTTTATAGTGCAAAAATATTCTTAGAATATTTATTTATGTGATTTTAAAAAAGTTTATATTTTTTAGTATGATATACACGCGCAACGCGCGTACTCTAAAACTAGTATTATTATAAAAGCACAAATAATTTTGCTAAATGTTGAACGACTAAAATATCCTTTAAACGTTAGTTGACTTTTATAACCTTAAGTATTTGTATAATTTAAGGATATTATTGTAAATAGTCTAACGTTGAAATTCTTTTTCGGTTGTAAATTGGGAACTAAATTTCTAGATCAAATAGGACAGCTTGGGATTCAAAGCTTTAAGGAATAAAAAAAGTACGTTAACGAATGGAGAGTTTGATTTTTATCCAAATAGTGAAATCTATACGTTAACGAATGGAGAGTTTGATTTTTATCCAAATAGTGAAATCTAGAATATCGATTTCCTCCTTCCAAGCGCTTTTTGTTCTCAGCATTAATTTACTTTGACGAATAATACTTTAAAGTACTTTTTATTTATTATTTTAATTTAATACGAAAGTTTAAACTTCCAAGTAGAGGAAAGCAAGAAAAGCTGAGGAATTTTGTGTAGCTTGGAAAAATTACGTTTGAAACAACTTTTAATTATTTATCATAAAAAACCATACACATGAGACATGTTTATTTATATAGATTTTAGTTCAGTCTTTTCTTAAACCATAGTAGGACATTTATTTTAACAAAAAAATGATATTCCCTCCGTTTCAATTTATGTAAATTCAATTGACTGGATACATAGTTTAAAAAAAGAGAGAAGATTTTTAAATTTGTAGTGTAAAATGAGGCACGTATATTTTGTGTGGCTATAAATCATTGCATTAAGGTAAATTATTTCTAAATAAGGAAAATGATCATTCTTTTTTACACGGAAAAAAAAAGTTCACATAAATTAAAACAGAGGGAATATACTAATCAAGAACAATTTGATAAGACTTGGATTTAATATCATAGCTGGAAGGGGAAAAAAGAAATAGAAGAAATAGTGGTGATCAATTAATTTATGAGAGTATGAATGGTAAAATGTCTAAATAAATTGCAAAGCCAACATAGTTGATATATTCAAAGACTAAAAGTTTACCTCCTTCAAATTGTAGAAAGACACAACATGTAGCAAATTCTTATGGTTCACCCTGTCAAGTCTTCTCATATGCACGATCCTTATCCATTTTTCGTAAAAGTAACTAAAAAAGTAATAGTGACAAAAAGTCGACTAGTTAAAAGTAACATTTTTGAAATGATAAGTTGCACGAGATTAACACTTTTGTGGTAAGAAGTATATTCACATATCTTAGATTAATTATTGGGCGTGGTTATTATTACGTGCGAGTCACGTACGTAGAGACTAATATTATATTAAAAACACAAAAGTTCTTAGCGAAATGTCGTTCGTTTTTTTATCCTTTAAAAATACATTTTATATAAGATAAAATAATAATTTAAGTTATTTACCTAAAATTTAAGACTTCAAAATTAATTATATTTTGCATATTAAATACTTCCTTATTTAAACTGCAGAACAGGGCCGAAACTGCTCATGAATTATAATAATTTATACAAAAATAACCCCCGTCCACCTATTGAGCCAAATTTGCCCCTACGGCTAAATTTTTGGCTCATTCCTGCACCTAAAATTAATAGCCCAAAATAAATTTAAAAAGTATTGTTATTATTGATTACGCGTCGCGTTCCTATTGGCTAAACTTAAACCGTACCCCAGATCCGTTTATATACCCCGGAAAACAATCAGTAGGGTAAAATTTCGACTGCTCACTTCTATATTTGAGGTCACTACCCTGTGGGGCGGATTTGCAGAAATCGTATCGGACTGCTCCACAACTCAAGATTCTAAGAACACCTCCACCAACCCAATAATGATCTAATTTATAGCTTATGTATCCCAATTTTGTTTCTCCTCTAATCTCTTGCTCGTCTGCCTTTTTTTTTTTTCTTTTTCTTTGTTGAGTAAAATGCAACATCTCCTCTTAGTTATGTATGAATGGAAATTCTAGAATTGACCAATTTTTGCACCTCGCAGGCGTTGGAATTCACAAAGCTTAATAAATGCTTTCAGCAAGTACGGAAGGTGGTTGCCGGAATTCACAGATGGAAGCTAAAGTAAATGCCTTCAGACGTCTTAATTCACAGAGAGTGTGTGGGATGGTTTTGGCGAAATAAATTTGAAAGGGGTGGGCAGGTCATACGGGCCGGTGCAAATGACAGGTTTACCGGTTACATAAACGGATCTTGAGTGGGGTTTAAGGTTAGCCAACAGGAACAAGACACGTGATTAATAACTACAGCATTTTTTAAATTTATTTTGGGCTGTTAATTTTAGGGGTATGAATGAGCCAAAAAATTAACGGTAGGGGCAAATTTGGCTCAATAGGTGAACGAACGGAGGGTATTTTTGTACCAATACTCATAGTTCAGGGGCAATTTTGGCCTTTTCCATTTAAGCTATGTAAAAAAGTCTAAAAATTAGACAATCTAATTGTATGGACTTTGAACCAAATACTATTTGACTTCCCACTTAATTGTTGTTCACTTTTTTGTGTGTACGTGACTTTCTTTTTTTTTTTTTTTAAAAAAAATTTCGTAAGTTGTTTCTTACATTTTTTTTTGGTTCCAAGAATATTATTTTGTTGTGACTTTTTAATGCATTATTCTATATTTTATGGCTTATCTATTCTCATCTTAATCATGTATTCGAGATTTTTTCTTATTTTTCTTATTTATTATTAATTTTTTATATTTTAAATTTAGTCTTATATGTCATTACTTTTAATCTAATCAATTACAATACAAATCAAGCAATGAATAAAAATATTTTTGACTAAGTTTATAAGCAGGATAAACTAATTCGTCTCAACATTCATCTAATTAGTCAATATAATAAGTACAATCTTAGTATCCACCTTACACATATAAGATAAGAAAGTTATTTTTAATAAAAGCTGTATAATTTTGTCTCACTTAATAAGAATAAAATTGATTATATTATGTAATCCATCATGTGTAATATAAAGTATTTTAGAAAGACATTATATGTAGAGTAACATACGATCGAGATATCATTTATAAAAATGATTAGTATTTGTCGAGTTGCGATGCCTAATATTATTACTAAAGCATAATCAAAATAAGGATACAAGTTAGTGCTCCCATAAATTAAGTAAAATATGAATAAAATATTTTCAATAATCTATCAGACTCAAATATTTTATAAATTAATATGATATAAAAGCACGTATACCTAGCAAGGTCTCATATCATATGTAAAATCGAACAATCTCTTTATCTTTTAGTGAAACATTACTCCATAATGTTTTTGCCCAATAAAGTAATTAATTAAAACAAGCCGGAAGAAAGAACCGCTACACTGGATACAAAACCTAAATATATGATTGACATTTATTATTTTTAGGAACTTATAATTTTTTTTGTTAATTTTTGTTTTATAACAGAGATACAACTGAGTATTATTTATGTTATTTTAAAAAAAAATATGTTTTTTATATAGGATACACGTGCAAAGCGCGTACACTAAATCTAGTTTTAAATAAAAGCAGTTTGTGCATATTGTCGATCAATTTCTAGTCGACCTATATTTATGACGTACGCGTCTCTATTAAATTTTGGCATTGCTTAATTAGTAAAGCATATAAAATATAACATACACCATTGCTGTGTACAAAATCATGTAAATTTAAAATTTAAGATATTTGAGTATGAATTATAAGTAAAAATAGTAGATAAAGAGTTAACCACTAAAGATTAATTGCCCAGATAAGTAATTAGTGGTCAAGGATCACTCAAAATTTTGAAAATACAGTTTCTGAAATTAGTATCCTGCTTATCCAACTTTATTAAAGTGACCGCCATTTTGTCGTATCTACCAACAACAACAGGGTGATATAAACGTGAATAGATTTTGAAGTCAAATCCTTCTTTCAATTTAATTTTCAAAACTGAAAAGCAACAATCCTATATTTGATTGAGTGCGGAATTAAGATATAAATTTTGATTTATATGATAATATAATATTATAGTGGAAGAAAACATTGAAACAATGAGAAATTTGGATTTTCACATCAAAATTTAATATGTGAATGGTTTAATGAATTTGGATTTTTGAATATTGTGGGCATATGTAGTTGTATGCCATTTTCTGGAGTTTCGAGTACTGCACCATTTCCAATGCGTGATATCTAGGAGAAATTTAAAAATAGCCAGATTTATAACTGCTCATTTAAAAATAGCCACAGTTTTAAAAGTAATTGAAATTTAGCCATTTTTCATGTAAAGATAAATCTGAGCGAAAACATTGTTCAAAACCCGGAAAATACGCCCGTATATTATAATGGAGTTCCAGCATAAGTATGCTTGAACTCCAACATATTATACGGGAGTTCCAGGATAACTATGTTGGAACTCCAGTATAATATGTTGGAGTTCCATCATAAGTACACTAGAACTCCAGCATAATATACGGGAGTTCCAGCAAGTATAAATGTCCAGTATAATATACTGGAGTTTGGAGCACCGGTGCTCCAGTCTCCCGTATATTATACAGGAGTCAGCAAAGTATACCGGTCCAGCATAATATGCTGAAGTTCGTACACAGATGCACCGAACTCCCGTATATTATACGGGACTGGTCTCTGTTGCAGCAAAACAGTAGCTATTTTTCATTGACTTCGTTAACGATGACTATTTTTGATTGACCAGTCCGAAAACTGGCTATACCGTTCTATTTTGACGTGATATCTGAATGAAACATTTAGGAATATAACTAGATCTTATTGTGTTGGATAACAAATTAAAGCCAGCAGGAAAAAATGATATAGGATTAGACAGATTACCCATTGTGTTCAGACGTGGAAAACACGCATCATGATCTATAAAATGGCTAATTTTATTGGGTGATTACTCAAATTTTACTAACGAAAAAAATTATTCAAATGGCAAATGTATTATAAAAAGTCATTAGGTGGAAACGACGGAGGCATTTTCTATGATAATTATACAAAACGGAGTGACTTTTTGACTACAAAAATAATATTTAGTGACTCTTTATGATACTTAATTAGATAAAGTTAAAAGTTTTTTGTTAATTTTTTTTCAATAGCTTTGACGCAATAAAATAAAAATAGAGTAACCATCTGTGAGATTAACCCTTTAAAAAATTGGATTATACGCTCACAATGGAGTGATGTGCAAACTAGACAGTTTTATAATGTACTCCTTCCACTCCCATTCATGTAATACACTTTCTTTATTAGTCTGTTGCAAAAAATAATATATTTTTAACTTTAAAATAATTTGATTTTTAAATTTTTTATTTCACTCACTTTACCCCTAGTGATAAACTTTTATAGTCACTCAAATGAAAGCCACACAAAAAGTTTTATCTTTTAAATTTATAAGACCATAATTTTAAAAATATTTTTTTAAAATTTCGTGTCGAATCAAATTATATCACATAAATTAAAACAGAAGGAGTAGCTTCTTGTATCATATAATGGTAAGGGAGGATATCCACTTAATAAAGGACGTAGCAGTCACTAGGGGTGGACATAAAATCCGAAAAATTGAATCCGAATCGGACTGAAATAATTTGGTAATTCAGTATCGATTTATTCGGTATTTCGGTATTTTTCGGTACAATTTTTTGGTATTTCAGTACAATACTCGGTATTGAGTTTTTGATATTTCGGTATACCAAAATACCAAAATATTTAAATCTAAGCCCACCTCTATTTTTATTTTTCAGCCCAATAAACATAAGTCCAACACCCCATGCCCCCTAATTCCCTAATGAGATTTTTACATGGTTGCTCCCTTTTTTAAAACTATTTTGATAAATGATAGTAATCTTTGTTTATTTCAAAACTGGCACATTTTTTTTTTTTACCTTTTTAGCACTTTCACGTTGGTAACTCATTAATTAAGAGATTTATTTTCCCTCTCTCTTCCATAATTTTCTTATTCTCTTCCATAAATAACACTTACAAAATATATCAAAGATTTTGAAAAAAGAATATCTAAAAAATAATTCGCTCTTTAACGAGGTTGCACAATGGGAATTTTAGTATTTTTTTTCTTTAAGTTTTAAACATTTTACTATACAATTTTATTTTTACTCATAATATAGCTTTAATATATTTCAAGTATATTATATTGTGATAATTTGTAATGTAAATATTCCATCAATAGACAACAACAACTACCCAGTTGTTGTTGTCTATTGATGGAATATTTACATTAAAAATTATCACAATATAATATATTTAAAATATATTAAAGCTATATTATGAGTAAAAATAATTTATAAATGTGTATTATACTTTATATCACAATATGTCATATATAATTTGTATATGTATTTTATTTATATATATATATAAATTATATATATATATATATCATAATATGTAAATAAACAAAATATACCATACATATTCTTTATAAATGTGTATTATACTTTATATATACCACTATTATATAACTTATCACATATACCATTTAAATCGAAAATATATAAGCACCACCAATCAAAGTTATACATGTTAAAATAATATGTTATTATCCAAATTTAAACTCTAACGAAGGAAATGAAAAGAAGAATTTTGCATAAGAAAATAAGAAAGAAAGGCATTAGAAAAGGGAAGACAAAAAATGGAAGGATTGTGCCAGTTATGGAACATTAAAAATTTGAGCGAAAAAATAGGAACAGTTTCCTATGGGATTGACTATTGTCCAGCTGACTTTTAGGATCATTTATTTGACAGCTATTAGGATATGTAAATATTTAGGTGCCGTGGATGAAAATAACTAATGTTGCTATAATTTTACAAATTTTCTTTAGATATTGCCTAGTTATTTTTTTTGCTCCTCCCTAATTCCTAAGGGCTTATAGTTCATTTGGCCAGACTTCTAAAATCAGCTTATTTTGAGAAGTGCTTTTGGTGAGAAACAGTTTGGGTTTGGCTAATTAATTAGAAAAACACTTTTGAGCAGTAATTAGTGTTTGGCCAAGCTTTTGAAAACTGTTTCTAAGTGTATTTTTCTCAAAAGTGCTTCTCAAAAAAGTACTTTTGGAGAGAAACTACTTTTTTCTGCTTCTCCAAAACTGCTTTTGCTTCTCCTCAAAAAACACTTTTTTTCCTTCCAAAAGCTTGGCCAAACACCACAATTTTTTGCCAAAAAAGCACTTTTGGCCCAAAAAAAAAGCTTATAGCTCGTTTGGCCAAGCTTCTAAAATAGGCTATTAGTCCCTTAAGCTCAACACCCCAAGCCACTTCTGTTTCAGTTTTAAGACTACAGAGGATCTGGATATTTAATGTTACAACATTACCACCCCAGGAATATACTCTCTGATAATTGGGTACTGGAAAATTGCATAACAATATCTATTCCTTTCATCAATCAGGAATAAAACCAAGGACAATTGGATATTGGAATTTTGTACAATATGATTTGTTCCTTGCATCAATCACAAATCTGGCGTCTGT